CGATCGACAACAGCTTCAAAGGAGACGAGTGGCATTAGTGTAGTGTGGCGAAGTGTAGTGAATTGCTATAAGCAATTAGTGAAGGAGGAGTATGGACTGACGTCGTAGTGTAGTGATCGGCAAAAATTAAGATCAGTGCAGTGGACCAGTATTTAGTCTGACCGAAAAAGGACTCAGTGCGAGTACCTGTGGTCTAAAGTTTAAGGTTAATAAAACCTAGTTTAAGGCAAAAAAAAGCCTAGTTGTCCTGAGTGCACAAGCCGATCGAAGTCTAAATCAAGTACCTGGCATTCAAGAACATGTAAGTCCAGAAGTTGAAAAAAAAATTGAAATTGAAAAATAAATTATGGCCATGAAAATGAAAAAGTCAATTCAAATTTGGCAGCAAAAAATCGCGTAAGCCCAATTAAAAAGTATATTCAAAACTTGGCAGCCAGTGAAAGCGTAAGTCCAATGTAAAAGTCAAGTCAAATTTGGCAGCAAAAGAAAGCGTAAGACCAAAAGTAATTCGGCTGTGGTCAAAGACCAAGAAGCCTTGTCAATGAATCACCCAGACTACACATAGTGTATGTTCAGTGAAGTGTTGCGGTATCTAGTCTTTGAAAGAGGCAAGATGTATCAGACATCCTTTGAGTGGTTATTATTAGTAGTATTCAATTAAAGTATTCAACCACGAGCCATCCTAAAAGTACACAGAAAAACGGCACCGAACTGCGCACTAGCAGAAATGTTAGTGTTGTGGAGTTGAGTTCATTGAAATTCAGTAAAGTATAAATTATGCTTAAGCAGAGCCAAGATCGTAAGTAGATCTTCTGAGCCTGCAATAAAAAGTCAAGCAGTGCCAAGATTCAAAAGTGATCCTCTGAGCCTGCAGTAAATAAATTATTAGTCAATACACGAGCAGTGCCAAGATCAAAAAAGTGATCCTCTGAGCCTGCAACGAAACATTAAGTGAGCTTATGGACAAGCAGTGAAAGGATCAAACAAGTGTCATTCAAGGACGTGCGTTTGCCCTGTTTGTTCCTCTGAGCTTGCTGTAAACGACAACGATGACTGCCGCCGAAGAAGAAAGAAAAAGATGTGGACAAAAGATGACAAAATTGTGATTATATAAATTATGTACTGTAAATTTAATTTGTTGTTTTGTCCTTTTGCCCTTTTTTTGTCATCCCACATCTTTGTATTTTGTTAATGAGTGTTTGCTAAGTGAGACAGACGCTCTGGCTTTAAAATATTGTATAATAGTCTTATAGTAAATGCCTAGGGACTAAGTTCTTAATCTCAGCCTAACAACTAGTTCCAACAATTAAATTCCAATCAAATTAAATAATATTTATTTTCCAAATCAAATTAAATCCAATAAATAAAGCGCCAAACAATAATAAGCCAAAGCAGTAAGTTAGAGCCAACCAAAGAACCAAGAACTGGAACCCCGAAAGGGAAATAAACAAAGTTTAAATAGGGGAAAAAAGGGGTGTGAAATTAGATTAAACAAATAATGCAGGTGTTAAAAAATGGAAAATCAAAACATAACTTATAAAGAAAAAGTTGTTTACGACTAAAGAAGAAAAAGGGAGAATTAATTTAAATAAGTTAAATTATATAAAAATTCTTAAACATGAATAAAATTCTTAAATAGAAAAAAGATTCCTAGACGGCAGGTGCGGTAAAAGGATAATTTTAGATTAAGCAAAAAAAACAGAATGGAATTTAAATTTAGAAAAAGTTAACTTAACAAAATTAAATCTAACTAATGGTCGCGTTTAGCGACATTCCCGGGCCCTCCTCGGTTTTTATCCTTTTGGTATTTCTTCAGCAGATCATCCAATCTCTCTGCAAAGTGCCGGGCCTCTTGCGCGATCCCCATGAGCAAATATTCGGTTGGTGTCTTCGGCCTGTCTCCTCTACGGACATCTCTTGCCTCCATCATTTCCTTCTCCTCTTTATGGCTCAGTCCCTTCACTTTCTCCGCAATAGGGTCAATCACAATGGTATCTTTAACTTTCGCAGGATCGAGCAAATTGGGCGCGTTTGATTTCCATGAGCTCACTTCTTTGACAATCTCTTTCACTTCGGCAGGGTCACGTCTGCTTCCTAGGCTTCCAAGCTTCCCTTCTGGCGGTATTTCATCTTTGCGTTTCTCAGTGATCACCTTCGCTGCGCCCTTCGAAAAATGTTGAGCCATTCGCATGCCTCCATCAGAAATTTTAGGTCCTCTTTCCTTCTCCATAGCATCCCTCTGCTTGTGTCTTTCCACTCTCTCTACTCTTCTTCGTTCTATCTCTTCTTCTCTGATTTCTTCTTCACTCTTCCTCTTCCTACTATACTTCTTCCTTTCATCTTTCCTCTCTTCCTTTCTTTCTTCTTTCACCTTCTTCTCTTCTTTATCCTTAGTCTTCCTTTCTTCTTTCTTTTCTGTCTTCTTTTCCTCTTTTTTCTCTTTCTTCTCTTCCTTTTTACCCTCTTCCTTCTTCTCTTCTTTTTCCCCCTTCTTCTCTTCTTCCTTCTTCTCTTCTTTCTCCCCCTTCTTCTTTTCTTCTTTCTTCTCCACCTTCTTTTCCTCTTCCTTCTTCTCTTCTTTCTTCTCCGCCTTCTTTTCTTCTTCTTTCTTCTCTATCTTCTTTTCTTCTTCTTTCTTCTCTTCTTTCTTCACCGTCTTTTTTCCTTCCTCTTTCTTCTCTTTCTTCTTTCCATCTTTCTCGTCCTTCTTTTCACCTTCTTCCTTCTTACTCTTCTTTTTCATCTTCTTCTCTTCCTTCTTTTTTACTTCCTCCAATGCTTTCGCTTTATTTGCCTCCTCTTCCAAGACACGCGCCGCCAAAGCATTGAACAATATTTTCTTTACCTCGTCCTGATTCACAAACGTTGGGAGAGCCAAGTCCTCTGTCACTTCTATTCCATTAGGGTTCCTTCGGTCTGTTGTCTCTCCACATTTCTCAGGTAAAATGAGCGGTACCATCCAGGGTTCTTCCTCACCAAAATCGGATAGTGATCTGATCGACATGGATTCCTCATCTTTTGTTGGTTCCACTTTTAGAATCTTCTTCACTTTTGCCTCTTTAACTTCTTTTTTAGCACCACCATCCAACTTGATTTTCTTCTTCTTTTTTACCACCACATCCTCAACATTCGGCATTTTGTCGTTAATTAGATTAAGAAGCACAAATTTAAAATTATTTTTTAAAATGAACACACGAATGAAGTTTTCTGATTTTTTCCAAGGGGGCGGGTGACCAGCTAAGTTTTCCCCATTCATCGGCTCTTTTATTAAAATACTTTTTCTATTCAAATTGTTTAAGTCGGCTTTTTCACCAAAGTTTATGTTTTTTAAAGAACTGTCTGTCCATCTCTCTTTGCATACCAATGTTAGGCGATTTGAAAAGATTAAGCTTAGGTCTGAAAGACCCCTCACCACCTGCGCAGAAAGTGCTGCTGAGAACAAAATTAAAACAATAAGGAAGCGACCGGGTAAAGCTTTTTCTCCTTTTGTTGTGAGTACGCCAATTATCGTTTTGTATACCATGAATGCGGGGTTGAGTTTGATAAATACAATTAGGCCGACAATTCCAATTACAAGCACGCAAAAGAATAGTATCAACGCTTTGGAGTTCAATAGCATTCTGTACAGAGCAAATGGGTCGAAATTGAAGTCGAGCAGAGAAAAACTGGCATTTGGAGATTCGAGCTTTTCGGAACGGCGATATTGTGGCTTGCGTCTTTTTTGTGGCACATAATATAATTCACCCTCCAGATCAAATTCACTTATGCCTGCAGGGCAATCCACCATACACTTAGTTTTAACTCTCGATTCTTGAACATTTAAGATTTCCTTTTGTTCGGTAGAGTTCATATCGCACTTGGCAGTAAATAAAATGCCGTCGTCACACTCTATTTTAGCCAAGGTTTGTCCCCAATCCGTTCTACAGTGGTATGATAACTGTGCGCCAGTCAAACATTTGTAACATCCGGTAAAGTTGAGCACTTCTAACCAGCATTTGGAATCCTTTAGCTGCAAAATCATTTCCACATTACTCATTTCGACATGGAGTTGCACCGGACTGTAACCCGTATCAGCGAAAATGCGCGCGTTTTCATTCTTTAACAGGAAGTGTCCTACAGGTAGAGGCAAGCGTTGTTGTGGGTCTTCGAGGATCTCTTCTAGGCTTAGATCCCTACAACTGCATCCCATCGTGCCACTTTCATGGTCGGGGGCGCACCCACTACAAGCGGTAATGGCCAAACTACAATTAAAATCGAGGGCCTGTTGTTCACTTTCACAATGTAAGTCCTCATTTAAGTCTTTAGCTAGGGCCACAACTTCATTTGCATAGATGAATTTGGAGCTCAAAACAGGTGCTGGGGGCACAGACACCATTAAAGGGGTCACCGTCACGTTATGCCATTCGAACTTCATTCCGGGGTGGAGAAACACCTCAGTTGAGTGGACTTCACCTTCTACACTATTCTTCTCCAATTTTAATTGTGCCTGAATTCGGAATTTCCATGTGGGGCAAGTAATTTTTTCAAAAATCGTTTTTGTCACGGGTTGGCCATAAAATCGATAGAAGAGGCATCCGTTGGCAGGCCATAGTGCGCACCCTTTCGCCCAACTTCCTAGACTGTCCGCACAAAAGGTATGACCCGGTAGATGATTGACTTCCCTCAGTTCCCATATTTTATCATCAGGTTTCACTTGACCGCAAAAATTGGAGAAGCAACTACTATTTGCTGCCCTGGGGCATCGAAAGTTTGAAGAACTTTCCACTTTATAGGATCTGAGCCATCCTTCCGATTTAGCCACACATTCAACAGTTAAGGCATTCAAGATTATAGTTAGCGTTCCCAAAACCATTCCATGTTCATCTCGAATCATTAAAGTGTTAGATTGTCCTGCGGGTAATAACGTGAGGGTGGTCGCTTGGTTGACAACGCAATGAATTCCAGTTTGTCCTCTATGGCACGTTTCGGATTTTGACATAATCGAAATAGTTTGTGAAGCATTTCCTCCTGGGACTGCACCTATCAGTATGATAATTGTCACCAGTCTTGTTACTTTAGCGAATCCTTCTCTCCTCCATTGTCTTCCTCTCCTTCTCAAGCTCTCTTTTTTATTTCTTATTGTTTCCCTGGCGCGTGCCCTGGTATAGGCAGTTTTCCTCTTCATCCACCTCCAGCACTGACATGCCATCCTTCCAATAGCCACTATCATTCGAAAGTTCTGGTGGCAAGACCGACAAAATGTGAGCAAAGTACAAAATCCGATAAGTATGGTCAGAGTAATAATTGCCCAAAGCACACTAGCCATACTGGGGTTGCATGAGGGGTTCACTAGTAGGTCGATGCAAAACGTACAATCCATTAATAAGCATTCATTTAAGGCTGGACAGGTCATCTCGGTCGAAAACATTTCCCGCGAGCTTTTCCAAAAATTTGCTATGCAATGATAGTCCGTTAAAAGCATTTCCGTAGGTAATTCGTACGACAACTTTTGCACATTGTTTTTAATAATGCACATATCATCGCAGCATATTTCCATTTTTTGGTTTCCCACTGGGCCAAAGACCATTACTCCCGTGAGCGTGCAATGAATCAGACAAATAGAACATGACTTAATCGCCAATGCAGTCGCGGTATTTAACAAACAGAAAAAACAAAGAGCAACCAAAGTAATTGCTGCTAGTTTAGCTTTAGCCCTCGTAACCATAGGATGCGGTTTTACAGTTTCCTTTTCAACTTTTGGTTTATTTTTTGGAGGATTGTCATCTTTTTTGCTATCCAATTCATGGGCCAAATTTTCATTTACTTTCTCATTGCTTTCTATTTCCTTTTCATTTATTTCCTGCACCACTGGCTTTACCTCGAGGGGGTAAAGTCTGCACACTGGCCGGGTGACAATTCTTCCATTAGCCATTTTTATTTTTACACTTCGCACTACGGATCCACTAGTATTAAGTTCCATCACTTTCCCAAGAGGCCAAAGGTTTCGTGGTCGAAAATCCTCCTCCACTAGAACAACTTCACCAACGGTGGGTGAAGACATAGTTTGTAGCATGGGGCCCTTGTGATTCCATTTTGACCGCTCTCGCAAAAGGATTAAATACTCTGATGACCATTTTTCCCAAAAAGAATCTAGTACAGTCAACGTATTTTTCCAAATTATAGCGAGTTTTCTTTCCGGTGGTAAGCGGCTTTCATTCTCCCATTCCTCGGCTGAGTCAAAATTCAAAGAAATAGTTCCGTGTGGTATTAGAAAATCAATGGGTCTGAGAGACAGCGGCGCATCACTTTCTCCCGAGACGTGTGAGATTGTACGTTGATTTAGACTAGCTTCTACTTCAGCGGTAAAGGTTACCAATTGGTCATATTCGAGAATCTTCCTGCCAAGAGCCCTCTTAAAGCACATTTTTGCCATGCCAACTAGCCTTTCATATAAGCCTCCAGCCCACGGACTCAAAGATGGCAAGAATTTCCACTCAATTCCATTTAGGGCCAATTCTTCAGCAATTAGGTCTTTTTTAAGCTCATTCATGGTTTTATTCGCTAGCACAAACTGTCCTCCATTATCGCTCAACATTCGCTTAGGGCGTCCACGCCGGCTAATAAACCTTCGAAAGACATTTGTAAACGAAGTGGTCGAAAGATCGAGTGTCGGTTCCAAATAAACAGCGCGCGTGGTTAAGCATGTTAGCAGCACAATCCAAACTTTTACGACATTTCCCGAAAGTCTAGTTACAGTAGGTCCAAAATAATCAACACCAGTTGATTCAAAAGGTGCGTGGCGCACAACACGGTCAGTTGGGTGCGGCGGCATTTCCGGTTTAGCATAGGGAGCTGACGAAATCCTCCGGCATTTTAAGCATCCACCAATTACTTTACGGACTGTTTGTCGCGCCTTTGGACACCAATAAGAATGCAAAAATTCAGTTAAAGTCCAATCGACACCTCCGTGCTGTAAATCCTCGTGAATGCGTCTGATTATGTGAGTGGTGAGGGGAGAGTGACATGTCAATATTATCGGTTGCGCCAAATTTGGTTCCATTTTTCCAATAGCAGACAATCGGGTGTTTAAGCGTTTAATGTCATTTTGGTCAATCAAAGTTTTTTCGCCACAATCTTCAAGATAAACCCTTTGATCATTCTTTATTAATAAGGTTTCAACAGTTTTAAAATCGTCAGCGGTAAAAGGTCCATCAACAGAAATAGCAGAAAAATTAGGCCTCAATTTTTTAATAAAACGCATCACAAACGCAGTTACTCGTATTAAACGCTTCCAGGTTCCAAATCTAGTTAGGTCCATACATTGGTCATTTTTATTTATTTCCTTTGCTTTTTTAAGTTTTTCTTTCACCAGATAAACTCCCGTTTCCTCTTCTTTTTGTGACTGCATATCGATTTCTTTCATTTCTTTTTTATTGGCAAAAAATTCTTTTTCAGTTGGCCATTCATTCGAAGAGCATTTAAGCCACACGGGTCCATCCCACCAAAGGGTAGTGTCACGCAGTACAGTTGGACTCATTCCCCGGGTTGCGATATCTGCTGGGTTCTGGTCGGTACGCACATAATGGAAAAGCACGTGTTCGTGCTGCCTTATTTCTTCCAAGCGTCTCTCAACAAAAATCGGTTGTGTTTCAGTTGTGTTAATCCAGGCAAGGGCTATTTGGCTATCGCTCCATAGGTGGAAACTAGCAATCTCACGTTTTAACTCATTTTTCGCAAACTCCATTGCTCTCACACCAATAAGAATTGCCAAAAGCTCCATGCGAGGAATAGTGAGCGTCTTCCCTCCTTTAAGCGGTTTTAAGCGATTTTTTGAAAAGATCAAGCTGGTCAGGGATTTTTCGTCAACATAGCTTTTAAGATAAACGGCAGCGGCAAAAGACAAATTCGAAGCGTCCACGAAAGTATGCAGTTCCAAACGAGCCCCCGTCTCTACAATAATCTTTCTTGGTACATCAATACTCTTTTGGTCCCAATCCGTTAAAATAGCTTTCCATTTGGTGGCAATAGAGTCTGGCAGCACATCATCCCAGTCCTTAGCGGTATTCCAAGAGTCTTGAAAAAGGCATTTGGCGGGTAGAAGACACGGAGAAACCAATCCCATTGGATCGTAGACACTTGCCAACACACTCAGAATCGAACGACGAGATGGTACCAAGAAGCCTTGTCAATGAATCACCCAGACTACACATAGTGTATGTTCAGTGAAGTGTTGCGGTATCTAGTCTTTGAAAGAGGCAAGATGTATCAGACATCCTTTGAGTGGTTATTATTAGTAGTATTCAATTAAAGTATTCAACCACGAGCCATCCTAAAAGTACACAGAAAAACGGCACCGAACTGCGCACTAGCAGAAATGTTAGTGTTGTGGAGTTGAGTTCATTGAAATTCAGTAAAGTATAAATTATGCTTAAGCAGAGCCAAGATCGTAAGTAGATCTTCTGAGCCTGCAATAAAAAGTCAAGCAGTGCCAAGATTCAAAAGTGATCCTCTGAGCCTGCAGTAAATAAATTATTAGTCAATACACGAGCAGTGCCAAGATCAAAAAAGTGATCCTCTGAGCCTGCAACGAAACATTAAGTGAGCTTATGGACAAGCAGTGAAAGGATCAAACAAGTGTCATTCAAGGACGTGCGTTTGCCCTGTTTGTTCCTCTGAGCTTGCTGTAAACGACAACGATGACTGCCGCCGAAGAAGAAAGAAAAAGATGTGGACAAAAGATGACAAAATTGTGATTATATAAATTATGTACTGTAAATTTAATTTGTTGTTTTGTCCTTTTGCCCTTTTTTTGTCATCCCACATCTTTGTATTTTGTTAATGAGTGTTTGCTAAGTGAGACAGACGCTCTGGCTTTAAAATATTGTATAATAGTCTTATAGTAAATGCCTAGGGACTAAGTTCTTAATCTCAGCCTAACAACTAGTTCCAACAATTAAATTCCAATCAAATTAAATAATATTTATTTTCCAAATCAAATTAAATCCAATAAATAAAGCGCCAAACAATAATAAGCCAAAGCAGTAAGTTAGAGCCAACCAAAGAACCAAGAACTGGAACCCCGAAAGGGAAATAAACAAAGTTTAAATAGGGGAAAAAAGGGGTGTGAAATTAGATTAAACAAATAATGCAGGTGTTAAAAAATGGAAAATCAAAACATAACTTATAAAGAAAAAGTTGTTTACGACTAAAGAAGAAAAAGGGAGAATTAATTTAAATAAGTTAAATTATATAAAAATTCTTAAACATGAATAAAATTCTTAAATAGAAAAAAGATTCCTAGACGGCAGGTGCGGTAAAAGGATAATTTTAGATTAAGCAAAAAAAACAGAATGGAATTTAAATTTAGAAAAAGTTAACTTAACAAAATTAAATCTAACTAATGGTCGCGTTTAGCGACAAGTCTAAAAGACTATAGTGATATTATCACAACAATTGAAAGCTTCGGCTTTAAGTGAAGCCGAACCTTTTTTTCAAGGGGGGAGGTGTTGTGTAGTGGTATCGCTATAGTATAAAAGCCAGTGAAAGCGTCAGTCTAGAGAGAATCATACTAGCGCTGCTAGTCCCTGATTTCCCTTCGTCTGTTCCAACCCTTTCACCTTCGCCTACACTTTGTATTTCTACACCGGATAAATTGTTATTGTTGTGCACGTCAAAATCAGTCAAATCTCGGACACCTCCGGTCATAACAAGAACTATGTATTATTCCCCATAATCCGATCAACGCTACTTATTTACAAATTCTTCTTTATTGATCCACATTTTGAAGCTTAACTCCGTGGTCAGTGGAACGCTAGGAATGGGGAGTATGGTGTTAGTCTCCAGGGTTTATCTTAAATTAACTATTAATAAAATTATTTTTTTACTCTTTTTGTTTTTTCTTTAAAATCCCCAAGCAGTTTAACAATTTCCCCTCTCTGCCAATCATATAACATTCCATCAGGATCACAGAGAAAGTTTGGTTTTGAGACATGACATCTTCCATTTCTACTAAAAGATGGATAATCATTCCAAGTCCGCACACGGGTCGACGAATGAGTTTTGATTATTAGAAAGGTTATAATCAGAATTTTAAGCATTTCTCTAAAAAAATTATAAGATATTCGCTCTAAAGTAAAGTTGGCCGAGATTGGGATTGGTCGAGATCGGGCAGGATTATCCCTGTTTTTTGAATCACGATCCTGACTTTTCTCATCCCGTGACCAAAAGAAAAATCCTGATCCCGGTTTCGGGTCTTACTTCGTTTTATGGGTCTGATCGGGATTTGGATGATTTATATGTCATTAGAAAAACTTAAAAATTATGCAATCTTAAAAATAATTTATTTTAAATTAATGTTTTTAGTTAAGTAAAAAAATGTAAAAAATAAGTGAATTTTAAAGTTTGAGTCATTTATATATAATTTGCTTTTGATGATTGATAATTTTTTTATTTAACATGTGTTTGT